CCCCCCCCCCCCCCCCCCCTAAGGCAGAAGGCATCCGCCCAAACCCAATGGCCCAATGCTTACAAATGAAACCCCGATGTTAAAGTCATCAACCCGAAATGCCGCTCAGGAGCCGATGGTTTCCCCGATGCCCAGGTTGGCATAATGAGGAGAATCGGGACCTGCAGGACGAGGAGCTTGAAGCGCGTAAGCTAACCCACAGCCGAGCCCTAAATCCTAAACTCATACTCCAAAGCCCCAAACAATCCTAAACACTTACACACAGCCGGCTTTCACGCAGACGTCAAGGATTTCGTCGGCTGTCCGGCGCCAGACGGCCACACCGCAAGCGGCGCACTCCAGTTTGGCAGGGTTTGGTGCTTCGAGGTTTTCCGCGGTTGCTCACTCTGGCCAACCTTCTAAGTTCATTCACAAATACAACTAGGCTGAAAAAATGCTGCGGGTAATTTTGCTAACAGTTTCACCTGGGGTTCTTACCGAGCACCCTGCCGAGGCTTACACTGGAACCCGGCAAGTAGACGGCAGTGTCGCATGAATCTCAGACCTCGAGACTTGACCTGTGCAAAAATGCATTGATACTTTCTACCAGGCTAAACCACTTTGTGGTCTTGGAACAATCGCCACAACAGCAGCGGCGACCGTGTTCAAGATGATAGGGAAGGAAAGAGAGTACCTTACAGCACCTCGGCGGAAAGATCATTTAATGACAAGCCAAGGCAGGGGCTGTGTAGCAAAAAGGCTCGATGCTACAAAGACTAGCAGCAACATCGCCGCCAATAGCATCAGTGAGCCTGACTGGGCCTCGGGAATAGGCGTGAGCGTGACTAGGCCTCGGGAATAGACACGACAACACCAACCGCACACACGCACGGTGGGCACTTCTTGAAAGGCCGGAGGGTATGGGCTGCATACGTATGTCATGATGCTTTCAGCTAGCAAGGCCGGAGTAGGTGTAGGGTCTTTGGGTATCACAAAACCCGGGCTGCAATCGTTGTTCGCCTGTAAATCGAAAACCCAAACAAGTTATGGAGCCTATAACATTGCCATCCTTGTCCCGAAGGAGGCCAAAGAGCACAAACTTCCTGCACGAACAATCGCTGGAAGCTCACTTGCTATCCGAGGCACCGGATAGCTTGCTTACTTAGTTGGAGGATCGGGGGTACCTGTAAGCAGTTGCATAAGTGAGACAAACATTGCCTGGAGTAGCTATAGCCAGCATCAGACTACTCAGTCTCTACTTCTGTGTACACATGAGCCTCACATCTCAGCAGGTTAGGAGCTTGCGCCGTGGAGCCACTGAAGTGCTACCGTGAGATGCAGGGGAGATCTTGAGATGAACTATCGAAGCAGTCCAAGTCAAGGGTTCGAGGAGGAATTTAGAAGGTGCCGCCAAGCGGCCGTAGCACAGTGAGAGTAACCACTAACCAGCATAGCAAACGAAGTCACCATGATGATACTTACACTTCATTGTGCTTCATCACCCCCAAACTCAGACCACCCTAAACCCTAGACCCTAAACCCTAAACCGTCCTGGCCGCCACCCATGATTGCCCTGAGTTGATGAGGAAGATGCTCAGGCAAAGCACCAGCACGTTCGAGCCGGAGAGCATGAAGAGCAAACCTGACACGAGTGGCTGCTCCAAGGCTTCGGCTTCACCGCCAGGGAGGGGTGGTGAGGCCTCTGGGCTCAAACATATGTACCCGATAAAACACATATGTTTGGACAGTTATAGAATACATACACACAATACATGTCTGTATAAAAGTATGTGTGTCTGTGCATGTAAACATGTATGTGTGTATGAATGTATGAATGTATGTATGAATGCATGTATGCATGTATGTATGTATGCATGCATGTATATACATGTTTTTAACACTCGCCCTCGAAGCTCAGGCGAGGGTTGGCATTATACATTCTTCTTTACTTACACATGTATGCAGACATACATAGTTATGCACATATCCAACGGTCTTCTGATCCTGAAGGTCTACGGCCCCCCTGGCTACTGGGACCAGGAGCCTCGAGCCGAGAGCTCACGGAACGAAGAAGCACACACACACACATCCCAAGAGATACCTCGCACATGATTTTAACGACGATGATGATGATGATGCCTCTGCAGCTAGCGTAGAATAGTATCTTGTTGCAGTAGGGCAGAACTTTTGTGTATATTAACTATAGCAATGCTATTGGTGGTGCTGGTGATGTAGGGCTGACGGTTGAGATGTGGTCAAGGTGGTGGCGCTGACTATCCTCAGGCCACGACCTCAGTGGTGATGGTTTTAGGGCCTTAGGGTTTAGGGTTTAGGGGTTTCAAAGGCCATTCTACGGTGGGGTTTTTCGTAACAGGCTTTGTAAATCAGAATGACAATGTCGTGCTGGGAACCGCAGGTCTGTGAGGCACCCTGAACTGACGCTAATCTTCAGGAACCGCCTCCAAACCCCAAGGCAAAGCGAAGTCATTCATGAACCGGACTCAGCCTTGGCGAAAAGAGACTGTTTACCCTAAAGCTTAAGCCCTACACACCCTGCTCCGCCTTTGACCCCGAGGAAGAAGCCGCCGATCATGGGGCAGGCCAAGGAGTTGATGATGGGAGAAATAGTCATCCTCTCTGACATCTTATGCTATACTAGATTTTCAGCAGTATAGCATTCTATACACTCTCATACACACACGCATATATATATACGTACATATCTGTGTAGTTTGTATTACAAAACATTATATGATTACCTTTGTGACTTTGGTGTTAAAGAGAGGTTGGGTTCGGGGCTCAAACGTGCTTAGGCTTCTTTTCCGCCAGGACCTCTGCCTTGCTTAGTGTTTCGGAGGTTGGCTCAAACCGGAGGGTTTTTAGCCTAGCAGCCACCAGTAGATGGAAGGAAGACTCTGAACTTTGAAGGGGCCCCAGGTCCCAAAACGAAACCTTTGTAGTGCACTACATCCTAAAGTGAAGTTAGATAATCATACTCAAAACCCGAATGAGGAGCCCCAACATCAAGCAGTCACACAAATTTGCAGTGAGTAGCCCATGTATGGGTCGCCATAGAAGGCTTCGAAACTTCAGTTGGATCGAAGCCGATCAAAGCTACGACGAATTGCAGATGGAGCCTGATTTAACGTACAGCCGATTGCTTGATGATAGCACTCTGGTTGCAGCAAAGGTGACAACACTAGTTGTGCCACAAAAGACTTATATCGCTGAGTCTTACTGGAGCTTCACCACCAAGCAAGAGAAGACCGTCCCTGTACATACCACAGCGACTTCTTTGATGACATTCAAAGGCAGATTCTTGGGAAGTCGTCACGTGAGAAAACATAGTAAAACCACTGCGCCTTTTAGGAGGTTCGCGAACTTGATGCACCGCACCTACCTGATCTCTTTGGGCGGGCAAGGATGCAACAGGTCAACCAGGACGATGAAAAGGATCTACTCTAATAAGTAAAGCGACTCGAGGGCTAAGTCCTGCAGCCCAGCTTTGTTATCTCTAGACGTCCACCGTGTCCTCATGGACGTGATTGTCCCAAAGGATGCAAGCTTCTTCAAGGGTCGAACATGCGACCTTGGCACACGCAAGCGCATGGGTAGAAGGCAGCATGGTATGAGAGTCTGTATTCTGGTGTCAATAGAAATCTGAGTCTGCGGCCTAAGGCTCAGAATCTTGGTCTAAGTGCCGGTGCTAGGTTCTGATGTGGACCCTTCGAACGGCTAGCACATGGACTCCCAAATCATTCGGGCATCGGAACCACAGCTACTCGACTCGTACTACCACATCAACTCCTAGAACGACGACCACGGCAGTAACAAGCCCAAATATGAAGGTGCACATCTATAGGACCCATATGGAAAACTTTACAGTTTCCCTAAATGCCACTTAGTATTCGCTCGTTCTGGAAACCAGCATCCACCCTTACCCCTAAACCCTACAGCCTAAACCGTAAGCCCTAACCGCAAGTTCTGGAAACCGGCATCCGTCAAAGCCACGCGCAGCTTCACAAACTTCGCTTGAGCCGGTCACGGAGCTACGAAGGCACAGGGTACAATAGGGGCCTTAATAATAATTAGAATAAGGTTTCATGGGGTTCCTTTTAAAGGGTTCCTTAAAGGGTTCTATAAGGGCTGCCATAACGGTTTAGGGTTTAGGGGCCGTAATTCTTAGAATAGGCTTTTGGGTCCCTGAACCCTAAACCCATTTACCGAGGCTCCGCACTGGGGGAAGGGCAGCTGCGAGATCTTCCCGATATCGTGCTGGGTGACATACTTGGCAAAGGCCTGGGCGGTGGCGAGACCTCAGCTGCGCTGGGCCCATTGGGTTTAAGGCTTAGGGTTTAGGGTTGTTTTTTGGGGTTTAGGGCTTTACGCTCTCACAACTCGGACATGCCAGGCGAGGTCAATGGTACGAGGTCGGCGTGAGACAAGAAGCAAGGACCCCCAATCGCGAAAGACCAAGTCCGAAAACCGCAAATCTAAGACCCTTACCATAAAAGCTCCCAAAACAGGGGTCCCCGAGACTACAAGAAGACAGCCCACTCACCAAATTCAAGTCAAGGAAAAAACCTCACCAAATTAAAGCTAGCGAACAGAACTTGAGAGTGAGCAGTCTGCCACAAGGACTAGTTCTACGACTACTATGCACAGGCGGACTTCAACAGTGACTATTAAAGTAGCTTAACGAGGATGCGCGAGTCTAGCGACAAACCAGTAAAGGCATACCCAACAAAAACTCCCCGCTCATCCCCGTGTCCATCGAGTAGGCTGGTATCTTTCATACGAGCCTCCTCGACATCTGAGGAACTACATTGAGCTCCCTTCTAACTAAACTCATGCACTCAGACTGCTCACAGGTTTCTCCACAGGACTGTGTAGCCGCGACCATGTAGGCCCCACACGCTTGCTTTCCGAAGTGGCCGAGGGGCCTGGGCTGTCCTCTAGCAGCCATTCCTCTCACTTGGTCACGTCGACACGAGTCCGCAAGGCTTGGTTGCGTGCTCCCCGACGATCGAGAGTACCCGATCTGCTCTTGAGCCTCCTTGATGGAGGGCAGGTAAGTTTGACCACCTGCTCCGCACTTGTTGAGCCTCTGTCCAGTATACGAAGCTAGCCGCTGTAACTCTCAAGGATGCCTCAGGCCTGGAGCATCGCTGCTGCTCTAGACATGTCATCAACCGGTCCCCCCTGGCTGCGGTGTGACCATTTACCCTCTCCCCAAGGGCTTGGCTATGGAGTCAGTCCTCGTCAGGTTTTATCGGTAGCCGGTGGTGTAAGACGAGCGCAGAGAAAGCTGGTCCAGTCCAGCAGGGTACAGCCCCTCGAGAACGTCTGCTCAGTACTGGAACGTTTTGAAGCTCTTCGTCGCGGACATCTTGAGGCTCATCACCCTCCCAGATGCACCAAGCTCGGTGCCAGAAAGCCAGGTGTTGCCGCTCCGTCACGCATGGCGGCATCAACATCCATGGCTTCAAGCACTCGGCGCGGGTTAGTGGTTTGATTAGGGACAACCAGAAGGATAAAACATGATAAAGGCCTAGGGGTGGGGGGGGAGACAGACGAGACTGACCTCATCCATCGGCAGTCATACAACATCCAGCATCATCATCAAGGGGCAGGCAAAACATGCACAGCAGGTGAAGATGATGATGACAGTAACAATGCAAAGGATGACAGTCCAGCAAAGCAAGGAGTTACAGTCCAGCAAAACGAATTCAAGTCCAGCACAGTGCGTCATGCAAGGTTGCGGAGGGTCGGAGAAACCAAACAAAGGTTCAAACTAGAAGCCTCAAGACCCTTCATGAAGAGGGCTCCAACTCCAAGGCGACTCCAGTGTATTGCACACAGGAGTAGCCAGCCGCCGCCAAGCCTGGGTTACAGACTGTCCATGACCTCAACAACGTCCTGCTGTGGATTGGAGCGGAGAATTTGAAGGGCATCATGCATACTGAGTTGTTTCAGTCTTGGTGGGGCTCCAAAATCGTTCATATCACATTGGCACAAGGGGTCCTTCCGGTCGGGCAGAGGGAATCCTAGACTAAGAAGCCTAGACCTGGGGCAGGGTCCTAGGTTGGCCAGGCTGATGGTCGTGAATGCAATAAGAACTACCCGTGCTTGGGATCGGCTTTTGTCTGCTACGTGGCCTGCATGAAGGCACCTCCGGGCATCCAAAAAGAACGGCACGTCTAGTGGCATCACAATCCCCGGCAGAACCTGACTTCCGAAGGTCTTGAGCACCTTCCCCATCCTGTCGTGCAGCCAAAGTCCGTCTCCCTGCCCCCCGACCCCCAAATTGATAACCATCGACTTGAACGGCCCGTTCCTGAGGTCGCGATGAACAACCCCACTACACCCTTGCCTTATCACGTAGGTGGTGTACTTATGCAGTGGGGCAATAGAGTGAATAAAACGGTTCATGATCAACGTAAAATACGGATTATCTATACAGTGCGACAGAATGTCAGCATTGGAACGGGGGGAGGCTCCACTAACCAAGTACCTGACCCCTGACCCTTCCGACGCGTTGCCCTTGCGAAGCCCTGAGACCGGCATCATCAAAAACAATTCCAGAACTTCGTCCTTAGTGGGAGGTTGTTCTCGCTGTAGCATTCGGGTTGCCATAATCTCCACTGGTCGAAGCAGTAAGCTCTCCGTGAAACCGAAAACCGGGTCCTGGGGTCTAAGGCGAGGGGTAAGGGGGTTTCGGATGTTTGTCTCATCCCAGATGTTGTCCTCTGAGTCTGAGTCGAGGACTGTAACCCTGGACGAGGCTGGTACACTGGTGTCCTCAGGGTGGGTCACAGTGCCCTCGTGGGCACCGTGGTCCTGAACTATAGCATCGTCATCCACATCCAACGTACAGGTTCCTGGTTTGAGATTCCACATGTTGAGGTGTGGGTTGCTACTCGTGGAGCCCCTCAATGCGCGCGGGTCGCAGCAAAATGAGCCATGTCGGTAGGTGCATCCCGAAATGCTCCCAGATAAGACACTCAGCACTGGCATCAAAACGGCAAGTGATATCCCTGAACAGGAAATCCAGAAAGCTGTAGTCCTGGTCTGTTGTCTCTGGGAATTGGCTGTGTCGGGAAGTAGGGGGATAGTGCCTAAGGACGTGGCGCATGGTTCGGAAGTACTGTTGAAGGTCGTAGTTACGAACATAAAACCACCGCCAAGCCACCTGCATACCCCTAAGGTACTCCCACATCTGTGTAGCCAGACAACTAGCAAGGTGATGCGGCAGGATATCCAGCGTGTCATGCAGCTCTTCCGATTGGAACGGTCTAAACTCCTCCAGGTGGTCAGGAAGGGCAATGTCAAGTGTCCAACCTATAGACTCATCCGACGACTGAGAGAACATGGGTGCAACTTCGGGCTACCTCCACTTCGTGATCCCTCGAGCTGCAACAACAAAGCATCTACATGTGGGGAGGGCTTCACGGGACCCACAGCATGAACTGGCTGCGAAGTTTCCACGTTTTCCTGTGATCTCAGTCCAACAGTGCTGGCAGGCATGCAAAGGTAGGGTCGTGCAAGAAACTTTATGAGAAGGTTATGAACTCTTCAAGTGCAGTCTCCTGCAAAAACACCTCGCATCTAGGCCTGGCAAAAGATAACATGGCCCTCTGATGCTATTCAGACCGACCTTTTGACGCACAGACAGTACTCACACGAAGTATGAGTGATGCTAATACCAACAAAGCTTAACGAAAATGGCAAGGCAAAGGTCAGTACAGTGCAAAAGCAAGGAAGGAAAACAGTCCAGCATACTGCTCGAGCAAATGAATTCTACAGTCCAGCACAGTGCCCCAGCAAGAAGATCAACGCATCCACCTTACGGCAAGCACTAGAAACGAGGTTGGCGCGCTGTTTTTTGGCGCCGCTTGCGTCTGTGCTCTCTCGGTGCTCCCCGCCGCAGGCTGGTCATTTCGCCTGCGCCTGTCTTCGCCATGCTTCGGCCTGCGTTCAGCTTGCGGTGGTTCTGGCGGCGTTCCAGGCCCCGGCAGCTCGGATAGCGGCATGCGAGGTGGCTGCTGGCTTCCGGTCATGCTGCCTTGGTTGAACATCTGCTGACTGCAGGGCACGTTTTCCATACCCAGCGCTTGTGCACGTGCATAGAAGCCCGCTTGTCCCAGCGGTGGATGCTGTGCGAATGCAGGATTGGGCATCCACGGGCCAGATGGCTGCATGCCAGAAGCCATGTGCGGAGGAGGGCCATAAACGCCGTATCCCATGCTCATCGGATGAGGCGCTGGCTGGAGCTGCATAGGCGCCGGCGCGGTCTGACGCTGCACAGGTGTTTCTGCGGTTGCAGTGTCGCGCCCTGACACTGATGATCCACGTTGCGGCGGATCCGTAGATTGGGATCGGCGCCTGCGATGTTGAGCTGGCATCTTCGCAAGATCAAAAGCCGTTCGCAACAAAAGCTTGAGCCAAAATGGCTACGGGGTTTAGGGCTTTAGGGGTTAGGGTTTTGCTTGGTATGAAAGATGGAACTTCGAAAATGGAACAAGCTCCGCTCGATGCTGTTTACTGGTTTTGTCAAACTTGTAAACATGTCAGTGGATACATTACGACCGGCAATTACTTCTTGCGGCAAACACGGCAGTACTGCTGTTGTGATAACTATATGAGTGACTTTGCAATCTCTGTCTGTTGATAGCCCAACTGTGAAGATGAGGATCATAGTGGTGATTGTTGTTGCTACCTCGCAGCTTTAAAGCGTGCTTGAAGCCTCCGCCTTCGCACGGCAGCTGCAATTGCCCCATCGAAGGCCCCTAAGTATCTATCTCACTTCCACCCTCAGAAACTAGCAGTGACCTGTGGCCTTGAGCACACAATCCAAATTTGTCGAAGTCCCCTGAACCAGAACTCCCCGAAACCCGTCTGAAACACGTGCAGAACCCTCAGAGACTAGTTGGAAACCCACTCTAAAATCAACAAACCTTGTAAACCCTTTTGACACATCTGCAAAACCCTATAACCGCCCTAAAACAACCCATAAAGCCTTGCAAAATCCCTAAGAAAAAAGAACCTGGAAGATCGGCCCCTCGGCCCCTCGGCCCCTATACCCCTAAGCCCTAAACCCTAAACTCTAAACCCTACACCCTAAACCCTGAACCCTAAACCCCTAGTCTCTAAACCCTAAACCCTACCGAATCAGAGCCCTGGAACAGGAGATCATGGTGTTCGCTGCAAAGGCAAAGGTCATCACCACGCCTAGGACGAGCCCGGCTTGACCTGAGGGTTTAGGGTTTACGGGTTTAGGGGTTAAGGGGTTTAGGGTTTAGGATGTAGGGTTTAGGGTTTGAGAGCTCGGAAAGCTTGCAGGGGTTTGGGTTTTTCATGGTGTGAGTTTAAGGTTTGAGGGTGTAGAGCTTTGGGGCTGTAGGTTTAAGACCTAGGGCTTGGGAGCTTAGGCGTATACAGGTTTAGGGTTTAAGTGTTCAGGGGTTTGGGCTTTCAGGGCCTGGGAGCTGCTCGGGAGGGCTTCAAATATCGGGCCTGACATAATCTGAGTAGACTTCTGGCCTGTTCTTTACATCTCGATACCATATGCATATGCTTCTATAGGGACTGGTCTGTTCTTTAAACTTCTATACCATATGCTTAAGTAGGGACTGTAAGGGGGCAACATTGCTAACTTGGAGACATTCTTGCTACTGCTGCCACGAACTATACGAGGCCCAGCTGAGTGCACAGCTAGGCGAGGGTTCGGGTACTACGGCACATTGGCCACTCAGACTCAGGCGCATCGTAGCCCAAGGCAAAACCCAGTGAAACAACATCTGAGGGCATGTTTGGGTTTAGGGTCTGGGGGGGTTTCGGGTTGGGTCTACGCCATGTTGGATCAATTGAAGCTTTTGGGCTTCGTGGAACCTATAAGTCAAGGGCCTTCCAGGTCTAGTTGGTAGGATTGCGGGGTGCTGGGGCTTCGATGCTTAAGGCTCCTAGAGCTTCAGCGGAGCTTCTGGTTGAGGGTCTAGGGCCGTTGCTAACTGTCTCCGACTAGGCTTCAAGCTTCAGGAAGCTGGTATTGCAGGACTAGGATGATAAGGAGTGAGGACTACGGCTTTTGTGCTGATTTTTGTACTGGTACATGGGAAGATCGCTAAAACTCGAGCCAGTGCAGCCGGTAAGCCTAAAAAAGAAAATCATTTAAAGCTTGGGCCAAAGCCGCGCCGGACAACAAGCGCATACACACACACACACACAAAGAGAGAACTCCAACTGCTAGACGTCCAGGCACAAGCTTCGAACCCGAACCGTAAAGGCCAAACCCTATGTATAAACCATATGAACCATAAACCCACGAAATGCTCCAACGCCAATATCCGAGGGTCTGAAGCTCGAGAGAATGGATCCAGTGACATTCATGTAGTTGATGTCCAACTCTGTGTATGTCTGGGCCAGCAAAGTCAAGGCAATGTTGAAGACAGCCTGAGCGACAATGAGCGCGGAGGAGGAAAAGCTTGAAAGAGATCTCGGTTCTACAAGGCCTTATCATAAACTTCGTCTGGCTAAAGGGTACTATACGAGGTACATAACCCATGTATAGACGACATGGATATGTTAATGTTAATGTATATCTATACATATACACATAGGTTTTAAGGCCATGTCCTTACATCGATCCCTGGACCTTACCTTTTCAAGCGGCTCTGCAATCAAGAGTTAAGTTCTTTTGTGGTTGTAGGGTTGTGAAGATCAGGAGTTTGGATTGGTAGGGCGCTGGATCGACGTCTAGGGCTTTAGACACTCAGGTTTCCAGGCATTGGGCCTTAGGTTCAGTAAAGACATTGAGGGTGTGGGATCTCGATCCGATCGATGTGTGAGGAAGCTCTGTGATTTCGTACAGCTTCAACAAACTCTAAACCCAGAAACCCCAAAACCCTAAAGCCTAAAGCCCTAAACCATTCCTGGGTCCAGCTTATTTCCGCTTAAGCTTTGGGTTTGGGCTCAAACTCTGCAGCTTCATACCGATACCTAAAGAAGAACTACCAGCATGACTATAATGATTATGACAACAACAGCAACAACAACAACAGCAGTAGTAGTAGTAACCATCGCACTTAACGTTACGTATTCTCTATACATTGTATTCCTACACCCGAACCCTGCAAGCCTTGCTGCCCATGTCCAGCTTAGGGGCACTGAAGGCGTTCACTGCAGAGATGGTGTTTCCCGCATGTGCAGTTGTGTCCTGAGATCTCCATCGGCATCCACAGTGTAGGCTTTAGGGTATTATAGGGATGGATCTGCAAGATCCTCGCCTGCTCTCGGCTCCCCGGATATTCACTGTAGGCATATCTATGCACATATGTCTAAGGGTGTGTAGGCATGTAACAAGACGTATACACATCAGGATGTTCTAGGACGTCGCTGCCACTTCTCCCTGGGTCCCATTACGGCACGTGCAGCTCCGGACAACTGGTTGAACATCATGTAGGGGCCTTAATAATTAGAGTAGGACTTGGGGGTGGATGCGGGCGAAAGCCTGTCGACGAAGAGCGAAACCAGGACGACACATGCATCCTCAAAGAATGTGTACATACGGGTCTAAAGAAGAGAGAGAGAGAGAGAGAGAGATATATATATATATATATGAGAGAGAGAGAGAGTTGCTGCAAATAGGTGGCAGAAGTCGAAGCATTGCATCGTATTCTTGGGACCATGAGTCCAAAATTTGTACAGGGAAGTTTCTTGGCTTAGCGCATCTGCGCGTAAGACTGCACAGCTCAGTAGAATAATTGATCAGCTGGTTGCAACAGGCACATCTTTCAGCCTGTGCCCAAACTGGTTCAAGGACATGCCTGCAACAATCATCCTCGAGGATTTAGCTAGCTTTAAACCTTTCGAGAGAAGCCTGAAATCTAGTGAATCTACTGGGCCTGGTCGGGAAGGAAAGGCACTACGAATTTCTTGTGCCGTCAAGGAACTCCACTTTTCGAGTCAGGCAAGTAGCATGGCTTTGGGGCTTCGACTCTCACACTCGCACCAGGCAGGCAAGGCTCCTC